GAAGAATTTAATTTTTTTACAAATCAAATCAGAGCAGGATAATGAGAAGTATTCCCAAGACTTAAAACACCTTCCCCCCACCCCTCCCTTCTTCCCGGGCTCAGCTCTGCTCCCCATTTCCCTCCCTCCTCCCCTCAAGCAGCGCAGGGGGACAGGGGATTTAATACTTAGGGTTGTTTTCATCTGTAATTTCTCACGTGCTTATATTCTTATGTTTTGTCATCCTGTTTGCTGTACTGGGGTCTCCTAACTAGCCATTATATGGCAGTGCATTAGTTGCTTTGAGGCTTTACTGTTGATATCCTTCTGTTTTTATGGACTGATAAATACTGAGCCAGAGGGATGGGGAGTTGTCTGTGTTCAAAGCCATGGTTTGAACTGCAGAGGAAATAGACTGGAATTAAGATTTTCTGCAGTAGTGAGAGTTGCTGAAAAGCTGCATTTGGGGAGGGAAAAGGAGTCAGTGCTTGCACAGGAATCTGGAAGAAAACGGGACCGGCTGCTACCAGGTTATGAGGAAGTACAGGACCTTGGATTCAAACACCGGTCCCTAGTGAGTCAGCCTTCAGCACTCCACCCAACGTTCTGCCCTCCCTGATCCAATAGCTGCTCCCAGCACACCCCCGCGCCATCCTTCCGGAGTCGTCTCCATTCAGGGATCTGAACGACGGGTCATGCCGTGGCTGTTACTGTCCCTGCTAGTTCACTTCCCTCGGCCAGTGTCCCTTTTGCTGGTACCTAAAGGTAGTCCTCATCCTTCCTTTTGGGTTTCTTACTTTGTTCCTTTTAAAAATCATTTAAAATAGCAGGAGTCAGGAACTAAATGTTACCACTTTGTGCAGCTGAAGTTTTTTCTTAAGCAGTTTTTAGTAGCCTTGTGACACGAAATGTTTTGTATTCACAGGTTTTACATGCATCTGCGGTAGTTGAAGATTTGTGGGTTTAAAGGCAGCCGACTGTCTGTCTCGTACCTTTGTGTACGTGTAAAATTTCACCTCCCGCTTGTGCCCATGCGACGGGTGAAGTCACGGCTGGGCGTGTGACCTGTAGCATTGGCACCCTGTTAACCAAGATTCACGTGCTGTGAGTTATGCAGAGTTTTCGGCCGTCAAACCTAGTTTTATTACCCGTTTCCGTAGGTGTGCAGAATTACTGATCACCTGTCGGGCTGACGTTAACCACGCTGCTGAGAGGGGACAGACGCCTTTGTACCTGGCCTGTAAAAACGGACGGAATGGTTGTGTTAAGCTACTCTTGGAAGGTGGAGCGGATCGAACAGCGAAAACCAGTGTAAGTTAAAGTCGGTTGTAAAGCACCTGGTATAGCGCTGCGTAACTGAACGCAGCTGGGAAATAATTACATTAACATATTTAAAGTTTTCTTTAAAACTGGACTAAACCGTGTCATTTGAAATTAATATTTTGTTCTTCTCATCATACTTTCTGTGTTTGGTTTTGGTTTTGGATTTGTTTTTAAGCTGTGTATTGTCTCTAAAATCTCCTACATTATGTGACTTCCCTGTCATTTTACGTATTCCAGATTCCACCTGCAGTTTGCTGCCGACTTTTCTTTGGCACTGGGTTTGCCAAACAGAACTCCTCTGTTCCAACGTGTGTTTGAGGTGGACAAGTGGAGGGAGGGATTTTGCTTCCACGTTTTACGTTAGGGCGCTGTGCTGTTGCCCTTGAGGGGAGCCCCAACTGGCAACAAGTCACTGATTGTTAGAGTCACGTTGGTTTGATACCTGGGAAGGAAACAGTCTGAGGACAGCATGCGAGTCCTGCGTCACCTGGTCTCTTCTGAAGTTCTGAAGCGTCGGTTGGGCTGTCCTTGCAGAGAGCTCCACAGTCTTCTTTCTGCTCCATTTTCTTCCCTCTCTTTCCTCCACCCCAAACACATCCAAGGAACTGCTTTCCCCAAGGATTATGCCATCACACTTGCTCACCTTTTTCATTTCCAAACAGAGCCTTCCGTTCAGACTGGTCGCAGAGGTAAGTTCTGCAAACACTTCTCTGCGCGTTTGCTGGGAGTGTGCGTTTTGCTTCTGCTCCCTCAGGATGGCTGGTCACCGATTCACGCAGCAGTGGATTCTGGTCATGTCGACAGCCTCAAGCTCCTTATGTACTACAGAGGGCCAAACAGTGGGAACTCTCTGACGGACACAGAGCCTCATTTAGCCTACTTGGATCTGGAGAAGGGAGAAGACAACTGCAGCAGTAGAGTAAAGCCTGTTATTTCTGCAGACCTCATCAACCAGGCTGACAAAGAGGGCTGGACTGCTGCCCATATAGCAGCATCTAAAGGCTTTAAGGTCAGTCTGTGTGAACGTGTTACAGTAACCCCCAGAGTTCAGGCAAGATAAACCCTTCTTTTTTATCTTTGAAGAACTGGAACGTAGATGTCAAATCCAAGTTTGTTGTCTAGTTTATTGTCACACTTGATTTAACAGAGAGAGAGAGAATTCCAGTGGATAATTTACCCCAGAAGCTAGGGGTCATGTGGGGTGAATTGTCATACTGAAATGCCTGTTTCTCTGGGGACAACAGTGAAAAGAGAAAACATGATTAGTTGAGAATCAGGTTTTCAAAGTTAAGGTGAGGTGAATCCCACCCTGAATGCCAGTTCAGCGGGTGTCATGTACTTAATCTAGGTGTCAGATGGACAGAGTTTCCAGTTACAGTCAGGGAGGATTTAACTCTCAACAATTATTCCTGTGGGAGGGAGGGGAGGACAAGAAATTTGAGAATCGGATTTGTGCAGCAATACACTGTTTAATTTGCTATTTTGGGCAGCCTTTTTAGCAGGCAGTGAATAACTTCTGGCGGTTGGGATAACTGATAACATGGAGAATGACCTTACAGGTTTTAGTGGTGATAAACACAAAGGTTTATGGAAATTGAATATTACCTGATGGATTTGACAGCAGAAGCTTTACACTGATAACACTGACTGTTGGAGGGGTTTTTATTTGTATGACAGCTCTCGGTTAGACCTTCCTGTGAAACTTTTACCCAGGGAAAAAATAGAGGATACTAAACACAGAAGAGTGAATTTTAGGAAAATAGAGTCCAAGATTTCGAAAATCAGCTGGTGATTCCATGCCTCATTCAGTATCTGTCATCAAGTTTGCTTTTTTCCCTGATAAATGCACTATGGTAAATTCAAAATAGGCACAGATTTAAGATTCAGTTTATTAAAGTATGGGGTTTTTTTAGGGACCAGCCACTGCTTACTCGGCGTTTGGGCATTACAAACAGAGTCAGTGTTATATCACCAGTGTCTGTTTGGCAGGAATAGACTCTTACTTCAGTCTCCACTCACCTCGGCTCAGATGGAGGTTAAGGTATTTGTTACAGCCTGCAGATACCGAAGCAGCGTGCCATACGTTGCTGCTTTCCACAATAACAGAAACCTTAGGAACTTGGAAGTTAGGTTATACTGTCTCAAAAGAGGCTTTGGCTAGGTGTTCTCTGACAGCTCTGACACTGGAAGTCTTCACGTGTTCCTTTGATGAATAACTCATGGTTTGGGGTTTCTGAGCACATTCCAAGCCAACTGGTTAATGAGATCTCCACTGGGGGTATTCTCTCAGGTGACGAAGGCAATAGATGGCTGGCGGTCAGATTCCTGGTTTTGATGTTGCTGAGAGTTTACATAACTGTAGTTCATTAAATGCATTTATTGACTCGAGAGGTTTGGGGTATTAAGAAGGTAAAGAAAACTTAATAGCCATCTTCAAGCGCTGTTAACACCTCAACTTCCTCTCAGTCTGCACTGCATGTCACTCACGACACTGCGCGATAGTTCCACATCAACAGGGCTGGCGCTTGCACCCTTTCCTTTTGAGCCTGGTAGGTGTCCTTCTTTACAGGTGATCTTACCTGCTCTTTCACAGGCAACAGAGCCACCAAATCTTCTCATTTTACTAAGGAAACGAGCCTCGTTTCTTTGCTCTCTCCCACTTCTTTCTTCCCTCTCTGCTTCCCGCTTTCAGCCTCACCGCTCAGTCCTCTGCCTTCTGCTGTCTTTGCCATTCATCGCACCCTCTGAGGGACGCAGTTAACTTACTAACCTGACAAGAAAACGTTTTCTGGTTAATTTCCTTCTGGCAAAGTTAGTGCACTAATTGATTTTTTGGAAAAGTTTTTACAAGTGCTGGAAGCACAATCTGTAAAATTTCGTCTTGCAGTGAAATACAGCTTGGGTGACTGTTGGGTTTATGAAAGTTGTCAGAGTATCAGATACGCTGACAAAAGTATTCCTGGTAGAACAGCTACAAAATAGGTAACAGTAGCCAAACCATCAACAATCCGCTCATCTGGATTAAAATAATTAACAGCTGCTTCTCTGTGTTCTCAAGGTTGGGTTTCTCTGCCTTGACTACCCCAGGTATTACCAATACGGTATGAACGTATGACCCTGATACGGTCATTTCTGATGGTGTCAGTTTTTAATATGGCTATCTGTCCTTGAAAGGCATGTCGGAGGATGACGATGCTCTCATGAAGCTGTGGATGATCACCAGAAATCAGGACTTGATCAGTTTTCTGGTTGCTGATCAATCAACGTTTGGATGTAGTTTTGTGAGGGCTGCTTTTTTTTTCCCCTCATTAGTTTGGGATCACCTTTATAACTGGTATTTTTTTTTCACATTATAGTATGACTGTACAAATCCATATTCATCTGCTAATAGCTTGTTTCTAATGATCTGCAATGAATTTTTACTTTTGTGGAGCATATGATGTTTTTTTAAGTCTTTGAATTTTAAGAGGATATCGTGTTAGTGGCATCCACAAAATCTTAGTGCTCTGACTTTAACAGAAACACATTTTTATTTCACTGCGTTGATACTATGCTTGCAGAAATCCAAGTTTACTTGCCAAAGAAGAGGCTTTAATTTGATTTGAAAATTACTGGTTTTCTTTTGCTGTGTACCACTTGGATGTCAGGCATGATGGAAACTCCTGCCTGGTGAATTGTAGAGTGAAAACTGGTTTTATGCCATCTGAATAGATTCGTTAATCACTCTGCGTTAAGCTTCAGAATTGTTTAGTGTCACTGGAACACTGAGGCCAAGATACTCCAAACAGGATGCATAGTTGGGCTTCTGTTTCCTTATGTGAATACCTAAACTAGTGGCCAGATGTTAAGAATTCCTTAATCCAGCTGCTCAGCATTTGATGCTTGGAGACTGTAGCAGAGTGGCTGCGTATATTCTGCTTTTTAAAAACCTTGATTTGAGACTTTCGAGTCTGCTATAAAACATTTTTACAGCTCTGTGAGGAACACCGTTTGGATGCTTCTATACAGAAGCTCCAGAGCTGACTGACTGTGGAAACGCACGTGTAAGAATTGCAGCGGGAGTCTGACTGCGTGTCGGTGGAACTCTTTAATGCAGCAAATGGACAAGTGAATAATACAGTTCTTACCTTTGCAGAACTGTCTAGAAATCCTTTGTAGCCATGGTGGACTAGAGGCTGAGAGAAAAGATACGTGTAATCGAACATTGCATGATGTTGCTACTGATGATTGCAAACATCTCCTAGAAAACTTAAGTAAGTAAATGCTATCAGCACTGTATAAAAATGTTTTTAGCAAAGAGCTTGTGGGACAAAAATGAGAAATATTAAATGGGAAGTTGTCACTTTTTGGCACCACACAATTAAGTTTTCGTAACCTAGCAAGTTTCTATTCTCCAAATTTTGCAAAAGCGCAGGATAAAATTTTGTTAGAGGTTACCGGATTATTTGTGCCTTTGTTTTTAAACCATTTGAGAAGATGGTGTACATTGTACATGTGCAAGCATTGGTGTTCTCTGAAAATTTCTGAATTTAATATTAGTGATTACTTTTGCCAAAGCTGTTACCCTCTTCCAATCTTTTCTTCAAATTCTTGCAGAAGAGTCACTTCGTGGTGGATGGCTGTCACATGTCCGCAGGCTAAGGCAGTCATCCGGTCCCACCTGCACCTCTCTTGGGAGCACAGTTTCATTTGTCACTTGTCGTTGAGGGGATTGGTTGTTACAGCCCTAAAGAAAAGTCTTTGTGACAGAAGCAAACAAGTACTTTTTCCCAGCATCAGTAACTTCTGACCGGAGTCTGTTCTCCTGTTGGAAGCCACCGTGGTCCGCCTGTAGGCGCTTAGTCCTTCCACGCCCAAGTTCGGTGTTTTCTCTTTCTCTGTGTAGTCACAGGCGTTGTCTCTGTAGATGCTTTCTATTCACACGCTTGTTTTGTGTCTGCGCTGTGGTTGGTGGGGCCGTAGGTAGTTCACTGACGATCAACAAATAGGGAGGCTTCTCGTGTGCTGCTTCGGATGTTCTTCTTCAGCTGTTACAATGTCTGGATTCTTACCTTTTCACTGTAGGTGTGGAAGGGAACACAACTCGCTTCCTATTAGAAACTCCTCTGGCGTCTGCTCAGTTACCAGGCTGAAGCCTGTTCCTGATGGCTGCAGCTGTAGCCTGTGAAAATGATGCCTGTGTTATTTCATCAGTTCTGGTACCCTGTTTCTCTGGTCAGGCTTATCATGAATCCAACTGCTTTTATCAGTTCAGAATCTCTGGACTCCATTTCTCTCCTCTTTCACTTGTTAAGCAAGTGGTTAACATCAGCGCAGTCATAGTTAGCTTCCCCCAGCGTGTGAGTGTGGAAGCTTAGAAACACCACTCTCGTCTGCATACAAGGCTGCATTTGGGGTATGCTGTGTGTCTACCATCCTCTGCCTTCCACACACTCCCATAAGGTTTCCACTGTAAGGAATTCCATGCCTGTAGGATAGGAGGCTGTGCTCCCACAGATCTGAAAGACTGGGGGCCAGGATTGCCGGCTGTGCCGCAGGGGACACGAGCACAGCAATTTAGGCGTACGCTGGACCTTCGTCCTAGGGGCTGTTGGCTTGTGGAGAACCCTCTGTGTTTCCTGCAGTCACTGCTCATGTCCCTGAGGCCCAGCCAGCAGAAGGGTGAGCCTCTGACACGCTGTCGCAGTCCCACATCTGAAGGATGCCCCTGAGTAACGGTTTCCCTATGGCAGGCTAGTGGGTTTAAATCGGAGCTCTTCAGACATCAAAAAACCTTCATTTGTTTTGGGGCAGCTGAAGATTTGGCTTCTGAACTGGAAGGAAAAACTGAGATTGTGCTGCAAGGCTTCGCAGTATCTTCTGGTTTGTGGTGCACTTACGCTGAATTTCAGGGATAAGTTCTGGAAGGTGGTGCTGTGGCATTAAAGTCCACGGACAGTTTCGTTTTTGCTTTTCGCCATCTGAGTGATCCACGAAGGCGGCTGCTGCTGCTTCTGTTGGGCTGCGTTCCGTCTCTCACAGGGCGGTTATTCACAGTAGTGTCATTCAATTAATTTTGTTTCTAGAATGTGCAGGTATACTTCCAACTTTGTTTTTTTAGTACTTTGTCGGTTTGTTCTGCAGCAAATCACCTGTACCCTTCCAGGTGAATTCACTGCCCTCCCTTTTTCTTTAAAGACGTCTGGCTCCGCTAACTGCGTTTTCCACTTGTGTGCTACTGCCAGAAAATCCCTTTCTGCACCGATAATAAAAATGTGTATAACCACCATAAACTGAAACATTAAGACACTACCTACCATTTTCTTAATGTGTAAGAAATCGGTCTGTAAAGAGGAAATAAAAGGTTAAGTAAGTTTTGTCTGGCTTCCTGTTGTTTAAGCGTAACAATACTGATTTTTGGTAATGTAAGAAGAGACCGCTATCTCGATACGAGTTTGTCATCACCACTCTGGTTTTGTGGTGGTGTTCCCTGCTGCTCTTCACCATTTGCTTTTCCGTAGCTGAAGTTATTCTGTAGCTTTCCTCTGCAGTATTAGATCATCTTGGTCTTTAATAATAGCGGGTTTTTTTTAAGTGAGTTTTACAGTTTTTCTTCATTCTTGGTTTTCTGTTTGTCAACAGATGCTCTTAATGTACCCGTAAGGATTTCAGTCAGTGGCACTGAACCAGCCCACTGTGGCACAGAGGAATTTGATACAGAAAACACAATATGTGCTTTAAATATCCGCAAACAGACATCCTGGGAGGATTTTTCAAAGGCAGTGAGTCAGGCAGTGACAAACCATTTCCAGGCAATCACTTCTGATGGATGGAGGAGCCTAGAAGACCTGTCGTTCAGTAGCGCCGCAGAATCCAGCATTGGCCTCGGTGCAAGCAGTATATTGTCTGTCAAACTAGGTATCGGCATCGGGGTAACACGGAAAGAAAAAACTGAGGGGTGGTTCTTGAATTTGTGCGGTTTTCTAAGTAAGATAAAAGTATATTTAGATTTCTGGATCTTTTAAAGCTTAGGCTAAGAAAGACCAGTACTAGCTGTGGAACTTTGAACACAGCTGGCATGAAAGCATTCTTGACTTTTAACTGTGTGTACGGTACAGTTCACTGCACGCTTTAGTATCATCTCGGGGACTGTGAGGTCATGGAATCATAGAATGGTTTGGGTTGGAAGGGACCTTAAAGCTCATCCAGTTCCACCCCCCCTGCCATGGGCAGGGACACCTTCCACTAGACCAGGTTGCTCAAAGCCTCATCCAGCCTGGCCTTGAACACTTCCAGGGATGGGGCATCCACAGCTTCTCTGGGCAACCTGTTCCAGGGCCTCACCACCCTCTCCGGGAAGAATTTCTTCCTGATATCTAATCTAATCCTCCCCACTTTCAATTTAAACCCGTTACCCCTTGTCCTGTCACTACAGGCCCTTGCAGAAAGTCCCCCCCAGCTTCCTTGTAGCCCCTTCAGGTACTGGAAGGCTGCAATAAGGTCTCCCCGGAGCCTCCTCTTCTCCAGGCTGAACAAGCTCAACTGTCTCAGCCTGTCCCCATAGCAGAGGTGCTCCAGCCCTCTGAGCATCTTTGTGGCCTCCTCTGGACTCGCTCCAACCAGCCTATATCCTTCTGATGTTGAGGGCTCCACAGCTGGACGCAGCACTCCAGGTGTGTAGGTCCTACAATTGGTGATACGCTACGTAGGTCCTATGTTAATGAGTCCTTCACTCAACTCATTACTCCAGAGGGACCTGTATTACAGGTGGAGCAAACAAGTCAAAGGAAAGCCCACTCTGTCTTTACGGTACATGCAGAATGTACAGCATATCCAGACTGTAAAGCGGGAGCATAGGTAGAACAGAACTGCTCCTGGTTCATGCAGCTTTACGTACCAAGGTAAAACAGAAGGATGTAAAGGTGCTGCTAAAACCAGCACATTTTATAATGATGGGAAGTTGGCCAAGATGTCGTAGTAGTAGTAACAGTTGCACAGGCTACTGAAAGTTCATGTCCTTCATCTTAAATCCCCCTCCACCTGCCCACCACCCCAGAAGAACCCTATTCACGCTAGACTGGGCAAATTATCTCACTTTATTTTACAGGTGAAGCTGTAAACACAGGCTAGCTATTAAACTTAATTGGCAGAAAACATGGGTGTCCTCAGTCGTGTGTCAGATAAGAGTATGATTTAGTACGTGGGACCGGCTTGTTTGTCAGATCTGTCAGCGTACGCACACGGCGACTGTAAGCAACCGAATGTGCTGGAGTGTAGGACACTTCCCATAGATGCAGGGACTATCCCTCTCTTATTTTTTCTTCAGGAAACATTTCGTGGTCGACAGGTCAGATTTTTTCCCAACCACCATGGGACTTTTTGAAGAAGAACAGAGCTGAGCATATCACCGTGTTTTTGTTTGGTAACGGTCAATTCATAATTTTCAGTTTTGAATGGTGAGACACTGCTGTGGTTTAAGCTGGCAGGTGGCTAAACACCACGCAGCCGTTGGCTCGCTCTCCCCTGCAGTGGGACCGGGGAGGGAAATCGGGAGGGGAGGGGGAGTGGGGGCAGAAGTAAAGACATGGATTGAGATAAAGGCAGCTTAATAGGACGGAAAAGGAAGGGGGAAAGGAAAAGAATATACAGAATAAGCGATGCACAGTGCAGCTGCTCCACCTGCCCGCCAGTGCCCAGCCAGTTCCTGGCCAGCTTAACCCCTGGTTTGTACGCTGAGCATGACGGCATGCAGTACGGAATATCCATTTAGTCAGTTGGGGTCAGCTGTCCTGGCTGTGTCCCCTCCCAGCTTTGTGTGCCCCGCCAACCTCCTCACTGGTGGGGCAGTGTGAGCAGCTGTGAGCTCCCTGACTCTGTGTGAGCACTGCTCAGCACAACTAAAACATCAGTGTGTTAGCAACACTCTTCTCATCCCAAATCCCAAACAGGGCACTACGCCAGCTGCTGGGAAGAAAATTAACTCTGCCCCAGCCAAAACCCAGACAGACCCTCCATACAAAATACATAATCTGAGGATCACCTGCCACTGGTTTGGTTACTCAGTGTTTTTTGATCCTCAGAAATGCCCTATCCAATTGACTGGATTGGGAAGGCTCTGCAACGTTTAGAGAATATGCTGGCACACAGAAGAGCCGCTGCCTCTTTCAGTTACACAGCGGTATCCGCTTTAGTGAGTTCACGGGTACCCATGCGTCTATGCTGCTAGACAGACGCTTTTCGTTTCTTCCCCCTTTCGATTTGCGTAGCCTGTAGTTTTAGGAGCTCGCTGTAGAATGCTGCATGAAAAGCTGCCATCTCCATCGTGCGTGTTTACAAACAGGAGAGATCTAGGGAAGTTACGTGTGTGTCTCTCTCTGAAGGACCTCAAGAAGGCTGCCTAAACAGCGTGACTTACGCATCGATGATCCATCTTCAGACTCTCCAGAATTACCTCCGCCTGGTGAGTACCAAGCTAGCTCCTGTCTGTTCCCAAAAATATTCCTGACCAAAAAAAAGTTGATCTTCTACTCTATGAAAGAACATCAAGTTTCCTAAAACAAATGAAAAGGGATGAAAGCTGTTGCTTTAAAATAAAGCTCCCCCTAACTGTTACCCCAGTAAGTTGAGTCACGTGAGGGCGTTAACTTTCTTCTTCAGCTAGCTGCCCTCGGATTAACTGAACTGCTTAAGAAAATGTATTAAAAGCTCTGTGATATCTTCCTTCTTCACAAAGTTTCTTCATTCGACTTTGAGGGGGAAGTAAACTAGAGCAGCGTTCGTGTAAGCAGTTGTTTGAGAGCTGAACTTCGTTAGTAGCTTATAAATAACTCTCCTGTAACTTACAGTTTATTTAATGCCTCAAAATGTAAGGGTAACTGGATGATTGCGTTAACTTTCACAGATCATTGTTTTTAACGTTGCTAATCAAATGGGAATTGGTTTAAAATTGGCCTAATTTCTGCGATGTCCTTGGATAGTATTTTGTGGTGTTCGAAGCAGAGTTGGGTGCCACAGGTTTCTGTTGTACCCAACAGTATTGCACAACGGTGTGAGCGTACTTCCTCACCGATTTTGTAGGCGTAATTTTACAGTTAAGATAGATGAAATCATTTTTGTTCTGCCATTTTGATAGCATGATCCCACTGCAACCAGAAATCGAGCCCTCAGTCTAAGCCCTTAAGTCAGCAGTGACTTAAGCTGCTCTCTGGTCATTTTAACTGCGTTCTGCTTTGTCTAGTTTACTTCCAAATCAAGAAAATCTTTGTGACTCTTAAACTCATCCTTCCCACCTGGGTTTTTCAAGTTTTACTGATTGTTACAATGACAAGATACCTTTCCCTGTAGCTTTCCAAATTAGGATATAAATTTCTCAATACATTCCCAAGATGTCACATATAAATATTGCCTGTTTTGAAACTAACATACGAAGGATTATCAGCTCCAGTGGTGCCAAACAAAGAATTACATCTTCTAAGTGCTGATTGTCTCATCTAGGTAAAAAAAAAAACCAACCAAATCAAGCCTGTAAACTGCCAAGAATAATTTCTTGTCTGTCTGTAGGTTGAACAATACCGTAATGTCATTTTCCACGGTCCAGAAGGAAGTTTGCAGGACTACATAGCGTATCAGATAGCAGCCTGCATGAAGGTATTGACACAAAGAGATGAAGTCGTTCATAAATTAGAGTTTGCACTATTTCACCAAATCTGTATGTTTTCAACACAGCAAAAGCAAGTGGCTGCAGGATCCACCTGCGAAATCGTTAGAGTTGAGGTGGATGCTGGTTTCTCCAAGGAGCAGCTTGCAGAACTGTTCATCAGCAGTGGTAAGGCTGTTTCAGCAGGGCTGATTTTGGTAATTTGTAGGAAAATTTTTAATGGTACAAAGTAACAAAATACATGAAACCATTTTGCATAGTGGCTGGCATGTTTTAACAGATCCCATCGTTTTCCAGGTGCCTAGGGAATAATGATGCATCTAAACTGAGGTAGAACTATGTGTGTGGGTCCAGTAGGGAGCTCTATCAAAAGTTTCTGCCATTTAAGTAAAATTAATAGTTCCAAATATTTTTTTCTCTCATTTTTTTTGTTTGCGAGCCTTTAGCAGTTGATTGCTATGGCTCAGATCTACTGAATCAGAGCGATGGTCTGTTGCCTTACTGTAGCTGTTCTGATGGCTTTTTAAGAAAAATATATGAGAAGGGAAGCTGTAATTACTATCTTTCTGTGAATAAAAGGTACAGTGAAAGAGTCCTTAAAAAGTCAGACCACTTGCCTTTGATACTAGGTACTTGTCTGTGGGTCTGAGCCAGATTTTGTCACCGGGGTAGGGAAGTGTGTGTGTGTGTGCTGACCCCTTACTGCGGGGCAAAGCTGAATTTCTGTTGAAATGTCCATTTTTCTCTTAATGGATGTGAACAGCTACAGGCAGATTAAGTTTAATCTTGGGTGCTCCGCAGCGAGGTGTTCTCAGTCTGGTCGGTAGGCTTTGCCCCTGTACGTTCACGATGAGTAATTGGTAAGAGTGGAAAAGGACGAAGCAGCCAAAGATAACGACGGTGAAAATGGGCAAATGAAGTAAGGAAACGGAGTAACAGGGCCATATGTTTCACTTAGAAGTAGGAAAGAGAACATAAAAAAAGGAACAGAATAGTGCTAAAAGTGAAGGAAAAAGCAGTATTTTCTGTGGAGGGCTTTTTCATGGGCAGGTTGTGCTGTGTCTTGCCCGTTCTCATGCATTCCAACTCTGATTTCTTTCAGTTTGCCATAGTACTAACCATACAGTAACGATAGAGTATGTAACAACACAGAGTATGGCATATGCAGTCATAATAGAAGAGCCTGAAGGGTGACATGATGCTTCCTTTTCTTTGGTATCACTCAAATTCATTTTGGCTCAAATACAGTTTTGCTCCTTGCAATCAGTTCTCAAATATGTAGGTGCTTTTACCTCTTTGCAGCTTTCTTCTGTTGTTTTTTTTCCCCCCATTTCTGTTTTAGGAGTGTTCAGTTTGGGGGTTCATTGTTGACAAGAACTAGCAATATAGTTTGAATGTAACCTTGATAGCAAGACCTTGTTTTCATCCAAAAATTTGGGGGGGTTCTCTTTTATTATTCTGGCCTCTTCTCCAGCTCTAGGATCTTATTTACCTCTCACGGAATATGGTCATTCACGTTAAAAATAAGAGAGAAATGTTACTACTGCTTGGAATAACCTTGTGTTTCAGGAGCTGTGATTTTGTTTTCAATACTGAAAGAGGCTGGGCTTTCGGCATTGGAAATTGCACTGATTTCGATTGTTCCAGTGCAGCTCCTCTGCACGCATCCTCCTGTGCTACCGTGGTGAAACCTTAGGACATCCAGAGCTTTGCGAGGATCAGTCCCTACCTTTTTCCTTCTCGTTATGGGCAGAGCAGAAACACCCAGAGGAATTTGAATCTCCTAAGCAAATCTTTTATTCGAACAAGCTAGAATTGCTAACTTTTTAATAGAAAAAACTACAATTCAGCGAGACTGAGTGCTGCCTTCTACCTGCTGTGTGTTTGCAGTGTGGGGCTATCCTTCAGGTCTGCTTCCATCCTGTCCCTTTCACTGGCTTTCCTGGTTGCACCAGACTATCAGTCCCCTCCGCTCCTGCACAAAAGAAGAGCCGCCCCGTGGGCCCCTACAGGGGCGCACAGTGCCCCGTTCCGTTTGTTAGCACCCTTCCTGGTGTGACTTTGCTCTCTGTCAGTTTTTTCTCCCAGGAAATCCTGGTCACTGTTTGGAGGATAGCTTCTGCCAGTGATTATTCCCACATGTCATTCTGAGTGCCGTCGTATTGCTGGGAGAGGGGAAGAGACCATTTAGTCAGAAGCCAGCTGGGCTTTGGTGTTTGGCCTGCAGGCAAGAATCATAGAATCATAGACTGGTTTGGGTTGGAAGGGACCTTAAAGATCATCTAGTTCCAACCCCCCTGCCATGGGCAGGGACACCTTCCGCTAGACCAGGTTGCTCCAAGCCACATCCAGCCTGGCCTTGAACACTTCCAGGGATGGGGCATCCACAGCTTCTCTGGGCAACCTGTTCCAGAGATCACTCATAGTCCCGTTTGTTCACTAGCCACTCTCTCTCAGGAAAGCTGCTGCTTTTGGATGCTGTACTCTGTGTCAGCAACACGCCTCTCCTAACAGTCTGTGCTTGCGTTCCAGCACTGTGCTGCTGCCAGGTCACTCATTGTCCTGTCTGCTTCTTGCCCCGTTGTTCTGCCACGTCTCCCGTCCTAGGAGCGCCCTCTCCTCCTCTTTGAATGCTTCCCTCAGACACAGAGGAGGTACCATTCCTCCCTGCTACCCAGCTATATCCAAACAGGGCAGTAATAGTCAGGAGACTGCAAATAAGTACCAGTCATCAGATACAGTATCATCAGTTGCTCTAAGTTTTGCCCCATTACTCATCATTTTCCTTAACGACCAACTTCAGTACCACCTTCAGAAAGTTTTGAAGCAACGCGAGGCATAATATACTCAGTGTTTTGTTTGATGCTGCTATTACGGAAGCATTCCTCTGGGATTTCGTGTCACAGGAACACAGCAAAGGCTGTATATTTTTAGGCAATGAGATGTTTAAATCGGGTGAAGTAAAGGGAAATAGGTGAAATGTGACAAAAGGAGAGATTTATATAATTTTTATGCCTATTAGGTTGAGGTGCTACTGTTTGTGCCCCAAACTAGCTCTGATTATGTGGGTGATTCTTAAAGACACTGAAGAGGTTTGGGAGAGGGGACAGCAGCAAACCAACAGGCAATCTCACACAACGATTAAGGTTGGAACGTGGAATGTTCCAAATCCTTTTATCACGACGTGGCATGACAAGTACACGTTAAAAGTCTAAGATGTATCACAGCAAACGAAAGAAACGTTTCCAGAGGTCTCTGCTCTCTTTCCCATGGTGGCTGTTTTCAGTGTTCTGAAATCCTTCCTATCTACAAAGATCCCATTCCAGCCAGTTCAGGAATTTATTTTAATGACAGCTTTCCTTCCCCCCCCCCCCTTACTGTACAGTATGATATTCTTTCCATTGTGTGATTTTTATGCTTCCAGTTTGCAACATCTCATACAGTCTGTCCACTTCTGTGAACAGGTTAAAAGGCAATAAATAAATAAAAAACCCTTTGTTGCCTTAGGAACAGTAAAAGCTGTATCCATACATAAGGCAGTTTTCCTAAGCAGGCATTCATGGATTTTTGTTTGTTTCAGCTTGTCTGGTCCCAGTTAAACAGCCTCCTGCAAACAAGACAACCATTGTGATTCTGGAAAATCTGGAGAGAGCTTCTTTAGCTGAATTACTGGGAGATTTTCTGGCACCTCTTGAGAATCGGAGCTCGGAAAATCCCTGCACTATTCAAAGAGGTATTTAAAGAATTTGGGAGGGAGAAATGTTTTTACGATGGTACACTTGTATTATGGCACATGAAAAACGGGGAACTTTCAAGGAGAAAACTGGAATTGGAAGTGTTTATATTTCATTGCAAACAGTTGTTCTTAAGCAAATACCACGTTTTAAGGCTAATTTAGGGGTTTTCTTTTTCTTTCTAATTATGTCACTGCTTCTTGCTTTTCTGTGAAATTATGTCAAAGCTTTGAGCATTTCAGTAAAAATGCTTATGGTTCATTTTTAGCAAATGGAGTTTCCGGTGCCTTTTACTTTCACGAGAACTGCTTTTTACTGGGGACAATCGCAAAGTGTCATCTCCATGGCTCTGACCTGCTGGTTCAGCCGCACTTCCGTTGGGTTCAGCTCCGGTGGGATGGGGAACCGATGCGTGGCTTGCTTCGGAGGTTTTTAAGAAGAAAAGTTATAAACAAGGTAAGAACTTGGATTGGCTTCAGCAATTCAGTTCATTACCAGGTTTGTGAAAGATGGACGATGGCAATGCCAAACGCTGAGCAGATAACTAAGTTGTTTGGGGGAAAAAGCATTCATTTCTGGGCAGACACAGGCTGTGTATCTGTAAATTTGCTTGGCCTTATGTAGGAAGGGGTGTGGCCGTGGCTGATTAGCATAAACGCCCCGGTTGGCTGCAGATAATGATGCTGGGGACACTGGATGACAATGCCCTTCAGTCATTTTTTTCATCGTCTGTGTGAGCATGGTAGTAAGAATCTATCCCATTCTCAAGGAACTTACTCTGTCTATCTGAAATAAGATAGACAACACACAGGACATCTAACTAAGTTTTAAGCAGCAAAAGGAGTTTTCTTGATCTTCATATCAACGTGGGAAGCCGGGTGAAAACCCATCAGCAGGGAAGTGGCCTTGAGCCAACAGGCCTGCTGAAGCTGGAGCAAAAGTCCAAAAGAGAGCAAAGATGGGAAGCCTGTTCTAACATCAATAAGAACTGGAGGATGGGGTATGAAATGAAGGATGTGGGCCAAAGCAGAATTGTGGGGTTTTTTCCAGTTCTTTGGAAGAAAACCATTCCAGTGTGATAGCCGCTACGGCAGACAGACAGGCAGTGTTAGATCCTGGCGGGGGGAGTTTAATCAAAACAGCTGCAAAGGAAAATAATCTTGGCAGCAGAGTTTTGAACGGCTGAAAAAGGGAGATTGTTCTAGGACTAGGAAAAACTGTCAGTAGCAGAGAGTCCCGGTCTGGGACAACAGACCCACTGTGGGTTCTGAGTGTTCAGCTGTACGTGCCTTGGTTATCCTTGGGGGTGCCATCTCCTGTACCCTGGGCCACTGTTCTCATCTACAAAAGCTTATTGATTCAGAGAGATCCTGAAGAGGAAATGTGGGGTAACTGAACGTTTCGCTTATGATAATGAGGAAATTTAGAAACATCCCTAGGTATTCTTTAATAGCAAGAACAAGGATACAGAACATAAAACCAAATGATCATGTGAAATGTATCGGTGAAACTCCTTACAATCCCTTTTTTCAGGTGCACAGGTCCTTACGTACTGTTTTCTGTGTGAAACTTGGTTTGCTCTTTTCCCCGTGTGCTTCACATCTCCGAGTCCCAACAGGCACAGGAAGCTGGGATCGTTATGGGCGGTTGCCTGGTCTGAGGGTGCGAAGAGCTTCCAGAATCCTTGTGCAAAGGCTGGGGAGGGTGGGGAGTGTCTGTAGGCAACTCGGGGCGTTGGTTCACGCTGGTGTCTTGCAGATGCGCTACAGTGCTGGACTGAGGTACAGGCCAGAGCACAGTGCGGTAAAAGCATGTAGCAGAATTCCTCTCTGTCCTCCTGAGGAAAAGGGTCGTATTCTCAAGCTGGAGAATATCCGGTGATCTCAGCCCCTTTATAAAAGGACAGAAACACTTTGATCGTAAATCATCAAGACCAGAGGGAAGGACTGTCTCCCGTGAGCACGAGGCCAAGAAATACGGCGGTGCGGAGAGTTGCAGAAGCAGTGGTGTTCTGAGTTGTTCGCAGGCAAAGGCTGGATCAAACCCACTCTGCCTAACTGCTTCGGCTACCAGAACTTCAGCATCACATAACAGGTGTCATTTTGGGGCTGTTTTGTCTGGGCTTAAAAGCAATCCCGGCCTCACAGGGTAGAGTTGAACCATGTAATAGGCTCCCACCTCTGGCTGAAGTTGAACAGGATTTGGGTAGTGTCTCATCAAGTTCATTTTCCCTAAAGCTTCTATGCAGATGGTGGCCATTTGGAGAAACAAAGCTGTGTGTCTTCATGCATCTTCCCACTGGAACAGGTTGCCCAGAGAAGCTGTGGATGCCCCATCCCTGGATGTCTTCAAGGCCAGGCTGGATGTGGCTTTGAGCAACCTGGTCTAGTGGAAGGTGTCCCTGCCCATGGCAGGGGGGTTGGAACTAGATGGTCTTTAAGGTCCTTCCAACCCAAACCATTCTATGATTCTATGATTAAATAATGAACGGCAATGCCCAGTGTGCTCCTACCTTTTTTTTTTTTTTTTAAATACACACACTTGTGCCACATGCAAATGCCAAACCTAAATGCCAGTTGGTGTGGGTCTTAAATAGGGGATTCCAATGTTAAAAATAGAGGAAAGGTTAATCTATTATAAAAATCTAATGGAAAATAAAAGCACATTTATTGTTTGAACAATAGAGTATTTCTGAGATCCTTGCTTGTGCCTTAATGGCCTTGTTTTCACATAAAAAGCTCTTTTTCCCTTATCTTGGGCTGTTGGGTTATACAGGACCAATTTAAATGTTTTCCTACCTTAACATTAAATTGTTCATCTGTAGACTCTGTCAAGAAGCTCTGGCTTCAGCGCTGGCGAATACTATCCCTACTGCATCTTTCAATGCTTCCTTTAATTCAAACTGTTCCAGAGGATAATCCTAGGATTAGAATGATGAAGACTGTAATTTGGAGTCAGATGAAACAGAATAGTTTTCTGGCACCAAATAATTTGCCTTTAAGAAGGCATGCTAAAAAAAATCTAAGTCCTAGAGGAAGGCATCTTTCCTTCATTGCTATAGGTATAAAATGAGTATCGAAATCCACTAAGGACGTGCCTGGAGCAGACACTCCTGATCAGTGTAATTGTACCTTCTTTTAAATGCCCGTTTATATCATATATATTGCCCAGGATATAGTAGGTGCCTCTTGCAATCCTCATCTTAAACACCACAGAGAAAGCACTGCTGCCCAGTTTGGGTCTCAGTTTCCCACAGGAAAGTTTATTGATAAGGACATATCTGCGGTTAGGGAAATAAGTTTTAATACATGACTTCAGTAAGAAAAGTTTGACCAGTTTTTGACTGTTCCTGATTTTCATAACAGCAATACAGCAGGTGAAAAAAGCACAAGCTGCCTTGGGCTCTGAAGGAAAGTATTTGCAGGGAGGTCTTACGTTGTGTCAAACCTCTTTTCTCTCTGCAGTTCAGAGGCAAAGTACCTCCTCCGTGTGATCCGGTGTGCAAGATCATAGACTGGATTCTTGCGGTTTGGCACCAGCTGAACTCTTGCTTATCGCGCCTAGGAGCACCCGAAGCACTTCTGGGGCCAAAACACTTCTTCTCTTGTCCCGTGGTGCCAGGGCACAGCCAAGTGACAGTGAAGTAAGATTCCTGTTTCCTGTTTGACACCGTTCAGTGCCAACTGGACACTTATTAAAGATGTAGCAGTTACGTTTTGCCACAAACCCATCTGACTCTGCAACCCTGAAAGTATTTTAGCAGAAATTATTGAAAGTCTTAAGACTTATGTTCAATATTTAATTACCAGAAGGGCAGTTTGGAAGGACATGAGTGGGAACCGTGTGTCTAACACCAGTTGAAAGTCAGTCTTCTTTTGTGATCTTCAGTTATTTTCTAACACAGAGGTTGCAAAATATTACTCATGCTGGCATGGCAGGTATTGCTCAACCCTTTAAAGGTGGTGTTCTTCATTTCAAGACAGCGCTGTACAGAAAACCGCTCGTTAGTGTAAGGTGCAGGAATTCTGAGCTTAAAAAGTTGGCGAGGTTTCCTTCTGAGGAAAGTTGTGATTGAAGGAAATGTAGAGAGCGGGAAGTTTTCCCACTCTCTTAAATACGTGGTATCGTTTTTCAACACACACCAACTCTCACAGAAGTATTCGCGTAGGAGGGAAGGCAGATACCTACTGTTTAGCTATGCACGTGGTTAGATGTCCAGTAAAAGAATGATCAAAATCTTGTCTGTTCTTGCATAGCGCGTGTTGCATAAACGTCTGCTCGCAGTCCACCTCATCTGCAAATGCCATCCAGGGAGACAAGAAATCATGCTAGCATTTTAAAATATACTGATTTCTACTAATCTGTTTCTTGGCTACATTAGAAAGGTAATGAGCCCTGATTAAGATTCAAACTTATTCCGAACTCGGGAAATAACGTTGGTTTCTGGAGACATAACATTACTTTTCTCACTCTGCTGCTTCGTAATGGCCACGTCTGTTCCCTGTCGGACCTCTCCCTCCTGTAGTAGTTCTGCTGACCCCTCTTCAGCGTCCCTTGCCTGGCATGTGCACTGCCTTTCTCATCTTTCATCCCCTCTGCAGTTGCTGATACATTCAGCTTGTTCATTTGCCTTTTTCTCTTATTCTAAAAGGCCAAATTATCTAATATCCAGAGTTGTTACCACAGCCTAAATGTGCATGTAGCACCGACTTGAAATTTTGTGTGCCCTGAAATAAAAAGAGATTAAAGTATACATGGTACATCTACCTCCTGTCTTCCTCTTGCATCACGCCCTCTGAAATGTCTTAATCGTTTATTTATTGCAGTGACGTTAGTGGAGGACAGAAAAACTGTTCTTTAGATACCTTCGTTATACATTTCTGAGTCCGGGTTTCTCCAAAGAGTAACTCTGACTGGATTCACACTGTTTTCTGTTGCGCACAGTCCCAAAATGCCTTTTACAGTAGCGATGTGCCATCTGACGCCCCATTTTGATGTAGTTTCTGTCCACTAATAAACAATTAAGAAGCCCAGCTCCAGTGAGCACTTACTGGATGCTTTCAGTTTAGCAGCGTGATGGCTAACGGTGTGGTCATATAACTAGCAATAAATAGGTTTAATTAGCAGCTCGCTGGTTGCTGTTATTTCAGCCTAATTAACCGCTCCTGTCCTCCCGCCCCTCCTCTCCACGGTGCTCTTCTGCTGCGGTTTGCGTTGGTTAAAGCTTCCCTGGGTCAGTTCTGTTCACTAAGGCCGCAGACAGCTGTCTGCCAGCTGGGTGTGTGCTGGGCTGAGCAGCAGCACGAGGCAAGCAGTACAAGCAGGCAGCAGGGAAGGGAGAGAGGAGGTGGGACACAAACTGCTTCCTGCTCTCCCGTTTCATGTCGCTTCACATGTAGAGAGTAGAGTGAATAAATAAGGAGAATTTTAGCCATGTTTTCTGTTGGTTTTGATGTAGGGAATTAAAGATGATGTTCCAACAGGGAAGAGTTTCACTTTACAGCTTTTTTTCAGGAGCAGGGGGGTGCTATATCTTTGCTAAGTATCGGCTGTGTCACAGAACTGGGGACTTGATCGAGATGAGTGCAAGCCGAAGACTGAGTTTAATCCCAGACTGAGTTTAAGGTTGGGATTTTATTTAGAGAGGGCGGTGCTGTACAGCCCGTCAGCTGTTAAGCTGCAGTAGGCTCAGTCAGTTTGCTCTCTGCAGCACCCATTTCTGACCCTTTATATTCGCAGTATTCCAGAATGTCAAAAGCTTACATAGGCAGAAACGGAGGGGAAGAGTTCTTTAGGAATAAAATGGAAGCAGTTGTTTATTTTGGTAGCTTAGCTCAGCTGTATCCATATGGAATGGTACCTCTAACATCGTGCTAAGGAAGCGTCAAGGAACATCTCCAATATGCATTTCACATCTTATTTTAACAACGGTGCTAATTAGTTTTCTAAGCAATGTAACTTTTATCCAGCGTACACTAGCCCTGTGTAGCATGGTTATATATCATAAAAACTCAATCTTATGCTTCTTAACTAAACAAAAATACATCTACCAAATGATTTATGCATTCTGACTTCAAAAAAAAGAAGGGAAAAAACGTTGTCACAATCTTTTGAGTAATAAGCTGGCTTCTGTGTGTCAGTGTACCCAACAAAATGGTTCATTAAGTCAAACAGATATTTTAGCCTTCACTTTCTCTGAATGGATTTCTGCGAAGCTGAAGCCTAATCATTTCTTAGAGACCTTTAATGGAAACCCTCTGACTCTCAACCTCACCATGTTCCTCCCGTAAGAGGGTAGAAGGAGAAAGAGTTGGATTTGATTTTAAAAAGATTGTCCCAGTGTCTGTTATAGATGTGAGCTGAGCGCAGAGGCAGAAACTCCTAGCTCTTATTCCCCAAGAACTAAACGTTGCAAGAAACAGCATTTATTTCCTAATACCAATTTTTCACTTCTATACTAAAGTAACTTTTCTCTCTTAGAAAAGCAAAAGTCCCAGAAGAACCAGGTCCCTTTGAATCACATTTTTGTAGTCAGACTCAGTATCTAAAGCAGACAATCCGGAAAATCAACGGCATACTGGGAACACAGTTTGCCATAGATCAAACAAAGGAGAGTGAGAGCAAGGCAGCTGTACAAGTAGAAACATCTTGTGATTTGGACAAGTTTGGAAATGGGAGAACACTGGGAAGGACGCAGTCATAACTGAATTCTTCCTTTTTCCCATGCTGGCAGCAAACAGGCTATGAGTGAATCCCTGCGAGCATGGAAACTTCTCTGTGCACTGACAGGGGTGAAAGGGGATTGCTTTGTATATGCATGGACAGGCATCTTTCTGGGACATTCCTTCTCTTAGCCTTAAAATGAAAAGGATATTTTCTAGTCCTTATGTGAAGGAGGAAAAGCATCAGGTAGTAAATAGTTTGCCAAGGCAACCAGAAGAAAGTTGGGTCAAATAATTTAATATAAACCAAACACATAAACCCTAAATAAAATCATTTCTACCTGACATGGGGTACAATAGAAAGTCCAAAATATATGGGCTTCCTCAATGCAAAATCTGATGTTACCCAGAATCTTGGGGTTTGATAATTGGTGTCTGAAGTTAAGGGATTGTTTGTGTGCCTACAGGTGGATGTCCAAGTTGTGGAATGCCGTGATAGCTCCCAGAGTCCAAGAAGCAATACTCTCCAGAGCCTCTGTGAAAAGACCATCTGTACCAGGACAAGCAGTAGCCAAAAAAAATCCTAGCCAAGGTCAACAGGCTGTTGTTAAAGCTGCTCTCAGTATCTTGCTAAATAAAGCTGTTTTGCATGGCTGTCCTCTACCCAGAACAGGTAACAGTGAGCAGTCTGAAAGGCAAGTAGTTGCACGTCACCCAAGTGGGGCTTTTCACTGTTTGATTCCTTTTTTGAAAGTTCCACAAAACGTAACGGTCATTGTGATGGGGGAGGTGCGTGGTTAAGAGCATCCCGTGCCACCAACCCAGTGGCTGTATAAGGGACTCGAAGAAGACCCATTTGCAACAGTCAGTTCTTCTTAACATTGTTCTGCTTTTGTTTCAGAGCTAGATAATTATATAGCAGATTTTAAGGGAGGAAACTTTCCTTTATCCATGGTTTCGAGCTACAAAAACTGTAGTAAGAAAAGAGGTGAGAACGCTTCTTGGAGAAAAGTGAGCACAAGTCCTCGCAAAAAGTCAGGCCATCCATCCTCCCCGTCATGGAATAAGCAGGAGATAAATACTGAAGGTAAAGCTTTCTCTTTGCAAATATCCACCTGAAAGCCGGTGCGAGGGTTTCAGCTGCGCTGACGTGAATCTAACTTTTCTTCTACATTATGAATTAAAATTCCCAATTCAATGAGACTCATGTTTAGTTTTACTGGTAAAAAACCTGTTTACTTCCTGCCCCAGTTATTTCTTTGTGAGGAATCCTAATTAATTTGTTTGTTCTAATGCCCCTCCTGTTGTGTGATCGTGAGGTAGGCTTTTCCTTAGGTGGTGGAAGACAGAGCAGTGGTTCCACCTCATGTCACATGGAACGATGCTCTATCGCTCTCTTCCTCAGCACTAGATGAGAGAACGCTTCAATACCTGATTGATACCCTTTAGTTCTGCACCTAATTTGCAATATACCTAACCAGGTGGTTCTTTTACGTGTGCTTCATAACTTGACTACAGTAATTTCTGTTGTTTGAACCCAAGTGAAAATAAATGAATACACACCTCCTCAGATCATGCATCTCTTGTTCAGTCTTATTAGATACATTGAGCAGAGTGATCTAGAAGCCCTGTAGTGGGAGGAAGAGATCTTTGGTTTTAAATTGAAGATTTTTGTTTGATTTTTCTCTTTAATTGCAAAAAATAAATGTGAAAAAGTCTGAATAGTCAAAGACACCGTCAAGTTTTCAGGGAGTTTCCACATCATTTTCAGTTATGCTGCTTGACAAAGAAGCCTTTCTATGACTGGGTGTATAAAAGTGAAAGTTACATTAGTAGTTGACATTTTTGAAATGTCTTTTCACCTTACTACACTGGGATGAAAGTACGCATCTGTCTAGAAGGGAAATCTAGGAATACCATAACCTGATACCATGTTAAACAGGAAAACTTGTAGGGGACAAAATCAAGAGCCTTATTTTTGCTTTCAGAAAACAAAAGTAAACTCCTCAGAGAGAAGAGCTAGGAAGGGATTTAAAAGAGGCTTAAACACACGCTTTGGAAACAGTAAGATTCTAGCTTCAGTTACCTCATCTATAAAAGACTGAAAGACCTGATGCCTGGTACTTTGCAACGTTGACCTGAGCTATTTGTTTCTTCAGCTCTTGTTCACAAGACGCTGAACTGCAGCTCTTAACGTCCCGGTTTTACTTGCTGGTTCTGTCTGAATTGTGAATCCCACTAAAGAGGCTTTCAGAAATCAAATTAACATAACCCGAAGTAGGATGGCTGATCCTGTACCTCGTACCTGAGCATGTTCCTGGACTCCAGTTAATAGCTGTGAATATAAGTAAAAAAATGGGATGGTGAATTTAATATGACTAGCTTTCCATTTCTATCAGAATCAAATATTCCTGATTCCAAGTAAAGGTGTTTGATTTTGCATAAATGAAGCAAACAAATCTGATAACACACTAGTAAGTCAATCTCTCCTTTGTGCAGGTATAAAATCAAAGACTATGTTGCAACCAAGCTCTAAGAAAAGAGCTTCTCTCGCCACAAAGTAAGTTTTAATTTCTGGCATTTGTAACACTTAGCAAACAATAAAGTTGGTAAAATTGTGTTGTAAACCAGCACGTTACAATGAATAGATAGAGGTTGTGTTGGCTAATGTTTTGGTTCTGCATGTGAAGGAAGGAATCCTTTTTAGTGATCATTTCTGAGAGACAATAAAATTTAAGTACTTGTGTGTGATTTTTAGAACCCATTTCTGTCACACAAACCTTGCAGCACTATGTGTCTTTTTATGTAACAGAATAGTCTATGATGTAAGAATATTATATAACACTTGCTCTGTCATGAAAAGCCAACCGCAGGCTTTTTTCACCTGGCATCGTACTTTAAAAGCTCCTCTGGCTTTTCAGCTTACTGAACAGCAGTTCAAAACAGTGCAGGCACTTCAGCCTAGGCAGATACAGAGTTTCTCTAAGAAAATGTTCGGCCTAGCCGAAGAGAACTGCGTTTGAGACTTTACTTCGGCCTGAAACCTCAGTTCTACCATATTCACAGGCAGAGAGAGCGTACAATATTTATTCTTACAGTACGCCAGAGGTTTTTTAAGTGTTTGGAATTCAGCCCAAAGAGGAGAGTGGAATAAAATTGATTGCTCCATCTTAAAAAGAGGAGAATCTTTGAAGATAGTGGGCAGATAGAGTTTTAATTGCTCTCATGACTTGTTTGGTGTTGTTCACCAGATCTTCAGAGAAGGATCAATCGAGAACACTGAATCTGGAGCAAAGGCTGTCCCTTGGTTCTGACGATGAAGTAGATCTTGTGCAGGAACTTCAAAGTATGTGTTCCAGCAAATCCGAGCCTGACATAAGCAAGGTAAACACAAGATTTTTAAATAATCGACATCATCACCATATGCAGTTGTTTGCTATGTGTTTAAAATATTTTTTTAATTTACAAGCACTGCTTAAACTGAAGAAAATTAAATTATTTGGAAACAAGCCAAAGTCAACTAATAAATTATACATTTGAGGGTAAGTGTTCTGGTTTAATATGCGTTATTTTAAATTACACCTTCACTATTTTTGCTTATAGAGACTTTAGCAGTGGAGGCTGAAATTTGTAAGTTCCTAAGTGCTAGAGACAATAGCCTCCTCTGCATTATTGTTCCCCGTGTTATCTTTCATGCTACCATGCTTCCACCTGGAAACTGGTTTGTGGTCTTAAAGACACAGCAAGTTTTTGCTAATATGCCTTGCACATTTGGTTTGTTGAAGTGATCCCATCAGCTATCACAGAACCAGCCCGGAGCTCCTCTGCTCTGTAGGCAAAATTCAGTTTTGCTGCCCCAAGCAAGAAAGAATGGATTGGCCTCATTATTTTTTTTCTTTCACAGTGGCAGAAGAGAGTGAAGGTTTGGGGCTGAGTTCTACCCTGGCAGGGGTTGTGGGTGGTTCTGGGAGGTCTGTTGGAGCAGAGGGTGGAGCTGTGGACTTCTCTCATTTTTCCTTCTACACTAGACACACCCAGCTCTCCCTGTAGTTGCAGCTATTTACTCTTTTCTTTCCTTCTGGCACAGCTGAAGTAGACGGCTGTGACAGCAGCCTGTGTTCCCACTGGAGCGGCTGATCTATACATTTTGAACCACCTACAGAGTCAGTCTTAGACTACTGTCTACTTGGGCTGCGCAGTTACATCCTCCAAGATCTCCCTGAACAGCAGTTCCATTAGTTTGGCTTTATTAAGTGTTCTGTTTATTCTTAGAAGTCAACCACGTTTTTATTAAAAAAAAATAAATATGGTGTTGGGGAAGATTTTTCAACCTATTTAATGAACTCCTTTATTATGCTGTTTTGTGTGGGGTTGTTGGGTTTTTTCAAAGTATTCAGAGTACTTGCATGAGCCCCGTGCGCAAGCTGGCACGGCAGTCACTGGTCAGTTAGCAGAGATAAGCTCTGTCTACCCTTGAAAGAATGGGCTGCGTTTAAAGAAATGGTAACCAACCTAAGACTGTGTTTAGTAAGATGTAAAATGCAATTGGTCACTGTTGACAATTCAAGGAAATATGGGTTAGATAAGGAAGGAGATAGATGTCACTGTCTTTTGTTCAGTTTCCTTAGCATGGGTGGGGCCATCCATGACTGGAATTTCTGTCGTGAATTCCCTAGCTGCCTAGTAGAGCCTTACAGGAGGAAGGGTGCTCTTACATGTTTACTTCGTGAGATGTAATTTCAGGCTGCCATCAAAATAAGTATTTCTACTCTCTAATTTGCCCTTTCACTTGAATGTCTTCCCGCTGCCTCTGTTATGTTGGGGGTGCGTGCTCTTGCAGTTGCAGAGTTGAATTGGATCAGCTTGTCCCGGGATAAATTACCTAGTTTTCCATGAGAACAGAAAGCTGATCAGACTCTTTCTGATACTGCGTGGTCACGAGGTTTGATAGAAAATCATGAGGAAGAAGCATGGCAGGAGGAAGAGAAAAGGATCATTCCTGTACGTGGTATTCCTGGGGCTGGATAAAATTTATATGGAAATCTGCCCTTAAGCTCTGGTGAAGAGTTGTGCAGAAACGACATGAAAATAAAATCAAGACTCCAAAACTTGGCAAACTGAGACATAATCGCTGTGGTGAATAACTAAAAAAATCACCGTTCTCTTGTCTTTCTTAGTTTGCAGGTTCTAAGGATGAGCTACTGATGTTCAGTAACTCGCAGAACAGTCCTGTATTTTCAGCAAGTGGTACTAAGCCAAGTAAAACAACAGCACAAAAGGTAGGTGGAACGAGTTTTGTAGTTGGATAGGGAAGGTGTCTTGAGTTGCTCCAAAATCTGAATTCCTGACTGGATCCAAAGAACTAGTGTTCCAGTGCCCTGTTTATGACAAGAATAAACTGTCGTGGTTCTTAGGAAACTTGGGAGACATTTCTTCCATGTGGCTTAATGGACACTGAAGATTAAACAATGGATGTACTTGCTCCATTTTCATGTTTACAGAAAGCCATCTCCCCAGGCCAAGCACTGTTGACATTCTTAAGTCAACACTTTGACATTATGAAGTTACTTGCATCAGATTTTGAGAGAAATAAAAGCCCCGGGTTCATTCCCCCACCCAAACGATGTTACCGAGTTTGCTGAAGCACACAACATGTTCAAGTTCCTGATGTAAAACTGCTGGTTCATGGGTTTTGGGGTGGGTTGGTTGGTTTGTTTGGGGTTTTTTTAGAGATTATCCAGATATAGATGATTGCAAAGTACTGGTTTCCTACGTGTAGTTATCTAAGTAGAATGGAGCTGCCCTGGTGACAAAGCTCTCAGCGGTAGAAATTCTGAGAAGACGTGGTGTTACCGGAGTTTGTGAAGAATAGCTTTTATGTTTTTAAAGGGGACTCAGCTCCCTTTTTCTACCTAGCTGTTTGTTGTAATTCACACTTCTCTCGCCGTATTATTCAGGGGAAACCGAAAGAAACCCTGTGTTGTAAGTTTGGCGAGTCTAGGAAGAGAGTCTAAAAATAAATTTTTCTAACCTCAGAGCAGTTTCAGAGTGGGAAGATGAGCTGAATACTACTGGAAGATATCACAGGTCCGCTGCCGCCATCTTTTCATTGTTCCTGGGTGCTAAAATCCCTACTAAATATGAAATTATATGCTGCTTAGTTGTCACTCTTTGGATAATAAAGTAAAAATTATGCTTTCTCCGTAGTTACACTTTTTTCCCTTCTCTTGCTCCTTGGGTTTTTGAACATCGGGACAGCTTCTGAGCGCACAGCTCGATTAACCTCAGCCAGGGCATACGCTGTTGCCTGTGTTCCCTCAATAGGGATCCTCTAAGAGTCCAATTCAGATGCTTTTCCGTGACGGCGATAAATTGTTTTCTACAGAAACTCTGTTTTCTGCAGGTACAGTGAAGTAGCCCTCAAAAAGTCTTGTGGCTTGCACACCTAAGTATTAAAAAAGCTGAAGTTGGATGAGGTGCCTTACCACCATATTTTTTTCATATCCAGATATTCAAAGTGACAGGATATTTTCTGTAATTTTACTTAAAATTCAGAGGACAGTCTCCACTAACGGAAACAATTTCCACATCACAATCCACGATTAGATATACGGCTTCTAAATATTTCTCTAAGCACATTAATTTCAGATGTTCTAAATCAAAGCTTCACATAGCAGTGATGCCTGAAGACTTTGGAAGTCAGCTGACCTACCCATTCCCACTGTAAATCTTTCCTAGTGATTTCCTAGTGCTTTTCCTGCTGTGGAGGTAGACAAGCCTGGCTACTTTGGAGTTTAAGAACTCGGTCAAAAGATTTCATAGAGAACAAAAAAATTATTTTCTGTCTCTTTGTAGGGGAATGTTGGCCAAAATGAAGGAAACACAACCCAACCTTTTGCTGGAGGGGAAAGAGGTCTCCTTGAAGGACAAGCTTTGTTTCTAGATACAGTCGTTACTACAACACATTTATCAAAAATCTGGAAGAGCAGAGTCCCAGTTTGGAAGCAGACGTCACATTTTTAGAGGCAGTTCTAATAAACCTATGCAGCTGCAAGAACTGCTGTCTGGCAGAGCATTTGAGAGTAGAAAAGCATCCTTGTCCGAAAGTAAATACAATTCTGTAGCTAACAAAAGCATTACTGCATGAGCGGGGGAGATCTTGTCAACAGTAATGAGACAAATTACTTAAAAGGGAAACACACCCGTAATGTTGGGGTGGCTTTGGGGTTTTTTTAATTGGCTGGGAGAAAAAATGCTTTCAGGTATGTGAAGGAGAAAGAAAACTGGTAAGAGATGCAAAATCTTTGATCCAGGATACAGACAAATGGGTGGAATCAAGGATTAATAAGAAACAGCGATGAATAGTCTGTTTCGACACCACCAACCTTTACGTGAAGAGTAGCTGACAGTGAAAATGCACACTGCTGCCCAGAGCGTGATCTGGGTTCAGCTGTCAGGGCCCAAACCCTCCCTTCTGTCAGGGGGACGGCAGGCATCTCTCCTGAAAGAGACGCTGGTGACCACCGTAAGGCGGCTTCAGGAACCTTTCTCTTGGCTGTAGAGGAACAAAAGTGACAACATACCTGACTTTGGCACTTCAGGTATCTAATCTGGGCAGGGTGAAGATGGTCCAGTGTTTTAAGAATGCAGCTTATTAGCATTAGTAATTTGAGATGTTAAAATCCCATTATAAGAATGCTGTCTATAAGGTTATGGATTAAAACGTAACGAGAACTTCAACCTCTGTTCCTGAAGTATTACGTTTGTCGTGATTATTTTGTAATTATTCATGGCCTTGATGGTACAAAAAAAAAAGCTAGTATCTTTATTCAAGCTGTAAATCAGGTATTTTTTGCTCATAACTACCTAAATTTCCATCTTTTCCCTTTGGCTGTGGTTGCAGCTGTCATTTTCCCACAGTCATGAAAGAAAGAACGCGTATTTTTTATTTGGGTACTCCTGAAACTGAGACCTCTGAGAATCCAGTTTAAGTGTTTTTTCACTGGCAGTGCAGAAACCCCACTGACTGACTGATTTTGGTGAACTAAGGTGTTGATGATATTTCAGCCAGAGAGGCAAAAAAGAGCCGTAGTTTGCTCACCAAGTAGTAAGAAGCTGTCATATTCCCCTGCAAAATACTGCAAATAACAAGGGTTCTGTGGGGTTGACCAGTTGTTTTTCAGGTGAAATGGCAAGGATTATTTATACAGCAAATGCCTTTTTTTTTTTTTTTTTTTTTTTATTCACAGGATGGAATGCGTCCTCTCAGCAGCAGTCGAACTGTGGAAAGCAGCAACAGTAAATCAAAGACAGAGTTGGGTGTTTCAAGAGTTAAATCTCTTCTTCCTGTTCCTAGAAGTAAAGCCACTCAACCTACTCAGAATACTAAAAAAAGCAGCAGCAGTAATACAAGGCAAATAGAGGCAGATAATAACACAAAAAGAGAGATTCGGAATTTGCACAACAAAGAACAAATAGAAAAATCGAACAAATAAACCTGCCTACCATACAATTTTCTGTGTTCATATAATCTCTATTGCAAAGAACTAAGTACTCAAATATGTAAATATTTTTTAAAAATAAACTGTTTCCCTGTAATGTAAAGTTTGTACAGGACCACAGTTTTATTTCTATGTAAATCAGCTGGAAATTATATTGGTTTAAACTTCAGAAACGGGCAGTTGTGCCACCTTCATAGATGGGGGTTTTTTCTTCTTTTCCCATGAAAATTACTCGTTTAAATGCTAATATTCAGGGGTATTACCACAGGATTCTCGTCGTGTATATACTGTACATAAATATATTAAGTTGACGTGTTTAAACTGCATTCAGATGAGTTGCACAATATGTACAGCAGTGGCTTAAAGCCACTGTACATGCATTTTAAAGACATGTTTTTATCTTCACAATGACAAATGAATGGAATGTGGCAATAACTCTAATGATTGGAAATGCAGATCAATTACTTTAAGCTACAAGCCATATTAAACACTTTGATTTCCCCATTATCTGCCTGCTTAAGTGTGATTTTGTTTCTCCCTTCTCTTCATCTCAAATGTCATGAATTTCCGTTACAACTTTTCTCTTTTAAAAAAGGAAAGAGATTGAGAAATTAAAATGCAATAAAAGTTATTTTCTCAGACTCTTTGATAGCATTGAAGATGTGATCAGTTATTTAGTTTTCCTTGTATACTGTAAAAACTTTTATATGCTTCATCAGTGTTTTAAAAGTATCCGAGAAACAGGAGTGTTTTACAGAAGCAGATCTTGCTGAAAAGGAATTTGAGCACAAGCTGAACTACAGTACTATCAGAGAGAATGTCATGGCGATACCATGAGTTACTACATAATCACCCGTTTCTATCGTGGATTTAAGATGTAATTGCTGTGAAATACCTGAGTTGCAGTCCGAATGAAGTCTTTTCCATCCCCACCCCCAACAGAGGTAGATCATGTTCCCATGGGGGAGCATTCCCCTACAGAGGGGCTGTTTCCCCAGGCTCCCCTTCACCGGTACTGATGGGGAACGTGCCGTCTGGGTACCTGCTCTGGCAGGCCAAGTGCAGAGCCTGCTCGGGATCAGGCTTAGCTGCTTCCGACAGGCTACCAGGAGGCAGTTTCGCGAGCCGTGTGCAGGAACACCGTCACGCCTGTGACGTCCCAAGTCGCGTTTGTCTCCAGATGAGCCCGGAAGAGGAGACCTGTTTCTGAACGCTTCACCTTTCTGTGTAAGAGTCATCCCAAACCCGTCTCAATAAAATTTTGTACTGCACACTGTCTGTCTGTCTGTACTTTGTGTGTGTGTGTGTTCTATCGACACGGAATATCAGAAGCTTATTTCTGTATTCACTTCCCCCGCAGTATACTGAAGAAGTACCATGTCTTTCAGGAATCACCATTTTATTAAAAGTTCAATTTCTGGTGTAATAGTAGCATATAACCGAATGCCAATGATTTCTCTAGAGGTTGATGTATCCTCCCCCCCCTAATTTTGGTGCTGAAACGGGATGCTTCTTTTGCAGCCAGCTCTTAGCAGGAGTCAGCTGCGAACCGCTGCAGGTCAGCGAAATGGGACTCAGCACCTCTCACCCGCTGCAGCGGTGCGGCAGCTCCTGCAGGACGCCCGGGCATGGATTTCATGGTGAGGAGGAACACCAAATGGGAAACAGTTTTTGTAACAATTGCCCAAGGTGCAACATCAGATTTGTAATAGCAGTAAATCAGTTTTTAAAAATAGAGCTGTAAGAAAAGAAGAATTCCGACAGGTTTCTGGGCTAGGTTTGTTCTGCAGTGAAAACAGACCTTGGAAGTGGCAGACTTCATTTAGATCAGGAGTTAGCAGTGTGTGTCTGCGTGGGAAGATTTCAGGCACAGTGTCCTCAAGCACGTTTTGAGATATATTTAGAGACTGTACATTGTGAGAATCAAGCGTCTCCTGCGCTGCGCTTTGAGTCTCTTTGTCTGCAGAAGACAAAGTAACTCTGATCATCGGTTCATGGTTTGGAAGTTAGGTCTGCTAAATTCAGTATTTCCTTTCAGTGCCCTGGTTATCCCATCTTTTCAGCCTGCTGTCCTGTGTCTCTCGGTCTGCGTCTTCTACCTGGTTGGCTTCTACCTGCTATCATTTTGTCTGTCTCTTTCGGTTCAACAATCTGTGATCTTCACACATCTCTAATCACATGGTATTTTGCAGATCTAATTGAAACGTATCGTCTGTCAAGCTCTCCTGTTAGGCCACCTCAGTCCCTGCCCTCACACAACCATAAAACAGTCTGCATGTGGCCACGCAGGTTTATCATCTGGATGGTTCCAGATCTTGCAGAAGCAAGGCAAGGCTCTGCTCATGAGTTAAGGGCTTCTCTGCATCTTACAGTCTCCCCCCGTGATGCTACAAAGAGCACTCCTCATACAGCACTTGTCCTGTCAGCTGCTCTCACCGTGGGTTAGTGATGAGCACCATCATTTCATTGTTGCCTGTGTCTGAAGTGACGTTTCAAACGTGCTGTCTGCGGTGCACCACGCTGCTCCCCGCTGCACTCCTCTCCCATCTACTGCCCCTTCCCACGTCCTCCAAAAGGTGAGGGAAGTGAGGTCAGAAAGGCTCTGCCTACGTGGAGGCCTATCCCAGAAAGTGCAGGGAACCTTCCAAGGTTGCAGCCATTCCACAGGCCACTAGGCCAGTGAAAAGGCTCCCTAACCCCTGTCTGACTGAACGAGGCGCCTTGCACACAATTCACTCTCTGCAACCAGAGGGACGTGAAAGCTCTTTCTCATCCACTAGTGACCTCAAACTAAGTCTTGGTGTGCAGTAGGAGAGCCCGCACACCCTTCTCTTTGGCCGTATATTGTGCACACACACATACACACACACCCCCTTCTAATAGTGCAATGTGCTTTGGGAGGAGCACTGTGTTTAATACGTTTTGTTTTACCAAACGCATGCAAAGTGAAGCTTGTGAAAAAAAGTTCCCTTAACTAATGCTCAGACTGTGTTTATCAAGGTTGTTCGTTCTTTCCTCCCACTGTGCTTGGCTTATGGCCTATATTGTGCACACACACATACACACACACCCCCTTCTAATAGTGCAATGTGCTTTGGGAGGAGCACTGTGTTTAATACGTTTTGTTTTACCAAACGCATGCAAAGTGAAGCTTGTGAAAAAAAGTTCCCTTAACTAATGCTCAGACTGTGTTTATCAAGGTTGTTCGTTCTTTCCTCCCACTGTGCTTGGCTTATGGCCTCATTTTCTT